ATTAGCAATCAGAAATTCTCCCAACAGAGATCCATCAGGCTTGTCCAGCTCTGAGTTTAAAGCAATGGTCACTATCTGGGTGAATTTATCTGGTGGGTTACAGGAGGGAAGGGAGGAGTGCTTTTCAGATATCACTGAAGACATGGGGCACTTCAGGGGGATTCATTCACTACCTGCATCACCAAAGCTCTCATCTCTCCACCCCATAGTCACAGGTTAATGCTATACATGTGCTCGATTGGAGCTTTATCCTCACTCTGAGGATGGGAGCAAGCTGTGACGTGTTTCAAAAGGTGACCCCATGTGAAGCTGAGAGAGATGTTGAGGTTTGGGGCCTTTGTGTGGTCTCTCAGATGCTTATGTGTCCTGTTTTTTGCTAACTACAACCACTCAGGTGATCAGTGTTTTACTTTTTCATCCTGTCTACAGCATCTAGAGCTAAATAATGGTATAAAGTGGGTTTATTGTGTCTACTACCACCTCATTCTTTCATATTTTAATCAGCATAATAGATGTTGTATTCACCAGGAACTTGTATGAGAGAGGCAGAGCCTTCACAGTAAGAACATTTTGGGTCTTTAAGTTCCATCACAGAATCATAGAATCCTCAAGGCTGGAGGAGACCTCTAAGATCATCAAGTCCAACCATAAAGCAATAAACCTTATGATAAACCATAAACCATATTAGTCATATGGAACTCACTATAGCACAGCAGTAACTTCCTTACAGGCATAAATCTAAGGTACTTAAGAATCTAAGAGAGCAACATTCATAGTACATTTGCTATAGCATACTCACACCAGCATGCACCCAGACCTAAAGGAGTTTCTATAATACATCCCTGTAGAAAAATTCCGCTGGAGTTCAGTCAAGTACTCACATCAGATGCCTTTGCATCTTCTCAGTGGGCAAAGGGTTGAGCCTCAAGGATTTAGAGGTATCAGCCCAGGATCCGTTATTGTCATTTGCTTGAATGTTTACTGGCTCTGAGAGGCCTCATTCAGAGGGAGATGCTGATTGCAGCCCACTGTGGTCCAGGAGAGCTCAGAGGGTCTCACTTTGGACAGCTGTTCGTAGGGTCACAAGAGAGTTGGCTTTATTCATAGTAATTTTCCATCCTGGCTGCAGTTCAGGTCAGTAAATTTCTATGGATGATAATGGATCATCACACAAATTACTTCTGCACAAAACTCACAAGTCAATTTTTGTACGTGCATGTCAGATGTGAATTTAAGCAGCAACTTACACAACCAGAAAAATCCATCTGACAGTTTTCATGTCTACAAAGAGCTTGTTGGCTTCCCTGGAAGCACCTGTAACGCAGAAATAAAGAGAGACTTCATGGAGGAAGTGTTCCTTTTCCTCTGCTCCATGTGTTGTATGCTCGTGGACATGAAGAAGGGTGGTGTTTAAATGAGGAAGAGTGATTTCAGAATGTTCCTGTATTACCTGTCTCCAGGAAGCAGGTGATAAGCTCTGGAGACACTCACCCTTGGGCTGGGATCACAGGATAGCTGAGGTGGAAAGGAGCCTCTGACAGTTTCAGCCCCTTGACAGGGGCAACCTGGAGCTGTTTGCTCAGGACCATGTCCAGCTCAAGTCTGAACATCCTCAAGGGTGAAGGTTCCAGATTTCTGGGCAACAGAGTTGTGTTTAAGTAGAATTCCCTGTATTTGGGCTTTTTGTTGTGTCTCATCTTGTTGCTGGACCTTCTGGGGAGAGCCTGATCTGTCTCATTTACTCCCCCTGCCCCAGGTGTTAATGAGCATCGATGGATTCCCCCTGAGCCTCCTCTTCTCAAGGAGGAGCAGTCCCAGCCTGGCTCCAGTTCCTCAATGGTTTCAGCATCCCTTTGCTGTGCTCACTGCGGTACAACATCATTCCAGTACCAGAGAGCCAGACTGTGCACAGCACTCTGGGTGTGGCCCTGTGAGTGAGAGGATGAGGCCTTGTGCAACCCGATCTAGTGAGGTGGTGTCCCTGCCCATGGCAGGGGGTTGGGACTAGATGATCCGTAAGGTCCATTCTAACCCTTAAATTCTATGATTCTATGAATCTATGACCTTTCTTACTGGGAGTGGAGAGCACATTAAATGACAGTTTCAGAAGCCAATGGAGTTGAGCTGAAGTAGTGGTCAGGCACCCTTAGGTAGATTTTGCTGTCATGGATCTGAGCACAGATCACTCTAAACTCTGCTCATGTTGAGGCTCTGTGCAGAGCTCTGTGACTCACCTGAGAAACCTCACGAAGACCGAAGATGTCTGTTGAAGGATTGTTTTGGGCACATGACTATTCTGATAGAACCTGTTGGTTTTTTTTGTAGGCACAGCCTCTTCTCTCTCCAGGATGTACGCTGAGTATGATGAGTCTGAGGACACTGAGATGTACGAAGATGAACTTTACCACGAGGAGTCATCCAGTGAGCAGAGTGTTGATAGTGAGGTGGAGTTTCATCTCTACAGCCAGATCCACTATTCCCAGAACCTTGAAGAAATGAGCACACTGGAGATAGATGAAGAAGCTGATGATACAGAAGTCACAGGTCTAACTGAGAAACAGGATGAAGATGAGACAAGCCCTGAATTCACTGATGGTGGTGCTCAGCTCTCAGCCGACCCTGAGGTCATCATCCTGTCCGACACATCAGATGGAGACAGCATCTACAAAAGCAAAGCAGAGACGCCAAGAGGCTCTTCAGCTCGAGATAAAGTCCACCCAGGATCTTCCACGCCGAGCCACGCCAAAACTGCTGGACACAGTTCCCTGTGTCCCTCTGGATCAGGCATGGTTGTGCCAAGGCAGAGGAAAAGCACTGGGGGGAGGCCTAGCCCCGTCCGTGCTCCTGGTGCTAATGCCGCCCACGACGTGTTGGTCATAGAGGACAGCTCAGAGGAGGAGAGCTCAAGCTCGGACAGCGACAACGTGGAGAGCTGGATGCTCCTGGGTGCTGGCGTGGATGACAAGGACAGAGACATCATGCTGAACCTTGAGGGCTGTTCCACTCCTGTCAGCGAAGGTTGGTGCTTTTTGTTTGGCTTTGTTGTTCTGTGTCTGCAACAGCACTGATGCCAGCGCTTGAAAAGAGATAAACAGAGAGCAGACTGGAGTGTGTAATGTGGGCACAGAGCTGTTGGTGGATGAAATGGCTGTTGTTTTTACCACTTCAGTACCTTATTTCAGTAGTGCACGTATGGAAGGGAAGAGAATTTCTGCTGGTAGACACTTAGAAGTGCTATCAGAGTGAGTCGTATTGTGAAATTTCCAACTGTCACATCTATTTTGTGTTCCTAAGAGCATGTGAGTTGTTCTGTGTTAGACCAGAGACTTGACACCTCAGGAAGGGATGAGCTGTAACAGGAAGGGGCGGAGGGGAGACCTGAGCATTTTCCTGCCTGAATTCAGCAGGTAACTGCCCCTCAGCAGTCTGGCAGTTTGGGCTGTCAGTCTGAAATGGACTGTAACTTCTGGTGTGTACTCTGCACTGAGTAATTCAGAGGGATCCTTCCCTGACCTCTAACATTCTGCTGTTTTGCAAATTACCCTTCCATGCTACAGCAAATGAATTCACTAACGAGGTGGTTAGCAGGACAGAGCACAGTGAGTGTTTGTGATGACCACATGGTGTGATGCACACATGTCACCAGCAACTGGAACCTCTGTTAGAGGTGTCTTGCCTTGTTGCTGGACCTACTGGGGAGAGCCTGATCTGTCTCGTTTACTTCCCCTGCCCCAGATGTTATTGATCATGGATAGATTCCCCCTGAGCCTCCTCTTCCCAAGCAGGAGCAGTTCCAGCCTGGCCTCCTGTGACAGACGCTCCAGTTCTATCAGCCAGGATTTGTTCTTGCCCACTGCTCTCCTGGAGCACAGAGATCATTCCCAGGAACAGCATCCCCTCCCAGGCTCAGCGAACCCATGGGCAGGACAAAGGCTGGGGAGAGGAATAAAGACAAAGTTTTTTTCAAAAATAGGGAAAAAAACTTTTCAAAAAAAGCATGCCATACTTTTACTTGGTGCAGCTGTAAATGAGGAGGTTTTAGGTGACATGGAGTATTCTGTGGCACCATTCTGCAGGCTGACACCAGTCAGAGTGTGTGCAGGCAGTGCTGCTGGTCACGTGCTGCTGCTGAGCTGGTTGAGAACTCATGAACGGTCCTTGCCTTCTTTTCTCATGAAACTCCTGTTGCCGTCCCATAAGTGTTCAATAACCTGCTGAAGGTTCTCTGTGTGGCTGCCCAGCGAAGCACAGTCTGTGGCCGAGCAGAGTGTTGTGCAGGGTGTCCACTCACCAAGCCAGAGCCACAGGCAGGCACACCGTGCTTGGAGTTCATGGTTTTTTCCTCCCCATAAATCTTTAAAAATCCAGTTTCTAGGAATTACCTACAGGTGTAACACTGTTCACTGAGGGCTGTTAAAATCCACACAGGACTTTGGTGCCAGGGGCAGATCGGGCATGTTTCTGTAACAAATATTGTAGGGTTTGATCCACATGTCCAACAGACATTGGAGTGGTTCTGATCCACTTGTCTGTTCATGGAAGTTGGGAGTGAACAAGCCACATCCAGAGCAGACAGCAGGAGCAGGATTTCCCCACACTGTGTGAATGGGTCACACTTCCAGAACTAAAACTGTTGCACTGTGTGTAGGTGATGTAAACAGTTTGTGAGGTGGTTCAGGGGGAAGTCAAAGGCAGCACATGAGGCTCATTAATGCACCTGCTCTTCTCCTACTGTGGTGTTTATTCTCAACACTAGGCCAGAACCTCCTCTAACCTGCCCCAGGTTCTGGTGAATGGGACTCGGGTAGCTCAGGAGTGCTGAAGTTCGATTTAGCTACTCCTTTTCTAACCAGTGATGGGGATGCACAGACAGAGGCTTAGAATAAACTGTGTTGTAGGAGTGTGTGTGTAATGAAAAGCCAAAATAGCATCAAAATAGCTGTAGGGAAGAAAGCACTAAATCCTCCTAATGTACAGCAACAGTGATTTATTTATTGTATCTCATGTTCTATAGACTACAACATATAACTGGCCTAGTGGGAGGTGTCCGTGCCCATGGCAGGATGTTGAAACAAGGTGATCTTTCAGGTCCCTTCTGGCCCAAATCATTCTGGGATTCTGTGGTTCTGTCAATGACTCCTTTGCTGAAACAGGAACATAAAAACTTTAAGTTCAAAGAAATGCATTTTAAAAATGTGTGTTGGCAGATTGTTCTCTCAGAGATGTTCTCTGCTAGTTCATGTAAATTGCTTTGAGACATGCACAATTCTATTTTTAGGGTTTCTGAGGAATGAAATGAGGAGTTTCAGTGGTGACACAGTGTGTAAATGGCAGTTCTAGGGCTTGTGGTGCCAGGGGTGGTCGTGGCGTGGAGGGGCTGGTGCAGCCTTGCTTTTCCCTCTGCCCTGGAGCAGCCTGTGATTGTCCATGGTACAGGCCTACTGTGGCAGTGCTGTGGTGTGCCCAAGGTCCTGTAGTGAAAGGGAACTGAGCCGTGAGCAGCTCTGTGGCTGTGAGAGCAGCCAGTGGTGTCAGTCACTTGGCGAGTGGTGTCCCTCAGGGGTCGGTGCTGGGGTCGACACTGTTTAACATATTTGTTGGCAGCATGGACAGTGGATTGAGTGCACCCTCTGGTTCTCTGACCACACCAAGTGTGTGGGGCAGTCACAGCTGGAAGGAAGGGATGGGACATCCAGAGGGACCTTGTCAAGCTTGTGAGGCCAATGCATGGAGTTCAACAAAATGAAGTGCAAGGTCCCACATCTGGACTGTGGCAATCCCAGGCACAGCTACAGGATGGTT